CAACAGCGGATTAACACACTAGTCTTTTAATTGTCAACAATCGATTACAATACGGTGACCTCGGACTTATATACTACGAGCGGTACAATAACAAACGCGAACGCGAAGGTGAATCGGTAGCTGGGTAGCCGGCCGACCCCCTTGCGAAAACTAAATACTATAACAAATGCCCAATAAACACTTTTCGCCGATAGACTATCAACGGGTAGCCAGCAGGTCTGCCGTACTACCAGCCATAAACTGGCGCCCAAACATGCAAGAGAGAGAGAGACAAGAGAAAAATACGACACCGACCTCGACCTTCAGCCTCTCCGACGGCTAGAGCGCTCTGCACCGTGACGTCACTGGTGTGCTCCTCGTTGACCGTCTCGCTGGTATTTTCTTTTTATCGTCGCTATTTTCCTCCTTCTCGTCCTCTCGTCCGTTGATTGTTGTTGCTGTTGTCTTCGCCGCCTCTTTATCGTTTGGTACTGCAGCACGTCCAGACTGCTCGCGCGCGCACCCGCGCACCTCGCCGGTTACCCACACGCACAGGTGCCGGGTATACTCCGGGACACGGCTGGGTGCGACCCAGTCTCACGCTCCAATACTCGTCCGCGCACCGGGCGTGTATCCGAAACGAATGATCGTCGACGAGGTCACGGGGCCAACTTGAAAAAACCGTAACCGTCGGTTTTTTCCGCGCGCACGACTTCCTCTGCTTATCGCTTAGCAGACACTCTCCGAATTTTTCGCGGCAATTCGCAATTCGAGCGCTCTCTCTCTCTCTCTCTCTTCTTCTGCGCCATCTGCATCGCTCCAGTCGTCAGCTTAGCCCGTGTTCAGCACCTCGTAAACAAAAGGTCCAAGCGTGAGTGTGTGTACCAACCGCACACACTCTCGGCGCACGGACATTTGCGAGAGCTAAACGGACGAGATCGGCCTAGCCGAGATTCTCCGTTACAATTTTACCAAATTAGAGTTTATATTTATTTGAAAAGATAATATTATTAATTACAATTGTAATGAACAAATATTGTCTAAAGCGTGCGTGGCTAGTAATGAACAATAGCAATCTGCCATCATATGTTCGTCCCATTTACCCTGATACTTTTACTACATTTTAGATATATCCTGATGAAAACGTTTTTCTTACTCTTCGCTGTAATCTCCGAAATTTTCAAGGAAATAATTAAGGTGGAATTCAAGGAAAAAAATTTTAAACTCATATTGCAATCTAAAATTTGAAAATTGCTTATCATATCTGTGACAATTTTCTCATAGTTTTTGTCCTTCTGATTTTCTAAGAATTTTGAATAACTTCTTTGTAACCTAACCACGCTTTTTTCTCTTTTTCATCCATTTTATTTATAAAAACGTCATCCTTAATAATTTTCCTAATCTGTGGTCCATTGAAAATTCCATTATTCGACTTAACATCAGAAATTTTAGGAAATTGGCATCCTAATTATACAAAACATTAATCTTCTTTATCAAATACTTTCACGAATTGTTTTATTAGCCCCAGTTTTATGGGAAAAGGTGGAAAAAATATTTTTTCAGGCTTTACCAGTTACAAGTTTTTTTTCAATAGTATTATTTTTTCAGGTTCAAATCCTTTACGTTTAGACCAGTTTTTGATGATATAATACTTATCTTGAGCTCTACTTTCCCAAAGATGCAATAAACATGGATACTCTATGTATCCACGTTGCTCTCTCAAATGAATAGTAAATATTTTAATATCACTACTGATTCGCTAATCGTGTTCAGAGTTTTTCAATTTTTCTAAAAAAATTTTAATGTTCTGTATTCCTCGTCAAGACTCACAGAGTAAGCTACAGAAATAGAAGTAAAAATGTTTTTGTTGATTAAGAGCTTATAAACTTTTTTTACTAGAATCAATAAAAACTCTCCTCAATATTATCTTCCTTGAGCATTGATACTAGCAGCTCTGTTTTGTCTTTATCAAGACCAAGATATGTAATCAGATAACTTAACCTTTCCTGCGTGTATATTCTGGGCTTTTTCGATACTTTCGCTTCATAGTCTTCTTCGCTGTCATTTGCATATGTGCCATTTTCTGCACCATTATCGACATCTTCTCTATCTTCTTCATCAATAATCATGTTTTTTTTACTTCGTTCTCGATTTACATTAAAAGACTTTGGATTGGGTTGATTACACTATTCACATCTACATAAATTGTTTTTTCACTATTTTTCTTATTAATACCTGTTAAGGGTGAGATTGAACAAGATAAGATTTTAAACGACGAAGTGAATTAAATCAAGTTGAATCCTTTGTTTTATTACGTACACGTGAAAATGAATCATAACTTTTACAAAGAAAACGACGCCGAATAATAATTTAGCACGTAAAAACTGAATCGCCGCGCTCGAGCAACAAGCTAGACGGACTTTTTCTTTTATTCCTGTCAGATTGTAGTCCAAAACAGAACTGCTGGCTGTCTTCATGCACGAAGCACGCAAGGGTCTTCCGAGCACCCCTGCCGCCAATCTTTAGCAGGCCCCACCCCGCTTCGGACCTTGAGAACACGCACTCTTGCACTCCCCCATTTTTTTTCCGCTTCGCTTTCCTTTCTTGCTATGACCGTTTCTCACTCTCTCTCTCTCTCTCTCTTTCTCTCTCTCTCTGCTGCCCGACCGGTCCACAGGTTAGCCATGTGCTATCCCTTGCCGTTTCTTGTGACCTGCAACACCTGGGAGGGTTATTTCCCTCGTGAGGTCTATAGCCTTCAAAGATTCGACTCCTCGAAGCTAAAGATGGGTATCACGGCCACGATGACGCTGTAATGCGCTCGTGCACATCCATACGCAGAGGTAAAGTTGCGAGAGAGTAAAAAAACGAGTCAGCACACACACTCAATTCATCGCTCAGTCTCGTTGTCTCGTTTGCTCGAGGTTTACAAAGTGCGTACATTTAATGATTAAGTGACATAAAGACTTAAATTTCTAAAGCGCGCACAAGTTTACATGAATACTCGCCCTACCGTTCGCTCAACTATAACAACTCTCTCTTATGTCTTGAAAATTTTTTCGCTCGCATTACGAATATGTCCACGGGTGGTCCTCGAGAACAGCCGCGTCTTCCGCGAATATGTCCCGAGTCTTTCGCGCATATATCCCGAGTGTTTCGCGCACACAATTTTCCGAAGTAGGCACTCTTAATAGGCTCCGGCTCTAATCTTGGCATCGGGTTTTCTCCGATCGCTTTACACGTGCGCCTGTTTCCCGACCTTTCTTTTTCTTTCGCGTTTTCAACAATACCACTTATTTGAATAGTAAAAATAGTAGTTTGAATGATTCGATTGCGATTTGTACCATTGAATTGGGCTTTTAAATTTAATATTTTTTGTAATTTTATTTTTATTCCATCGATTTAATGATAACCGATATAAACTGTAACCATAATAATTTTATTAGGAATTTTCATATTACAACAAATGCTTTTCTTGTTATATTATATCAATTCAATTCGAATAACACGAATCCACACATGCAATGAAATATAAAACGCAAAATAATGTGGTAAATGAACCTAAATCTAATGAACCTGGTACTTCAGGCAGAAAGATATATGGAAACCTCACTACGTGCAAAAAAATAAGTCAGATAAATATTGTTGTACAGAAGTGGTTTTTTGATTTTAAGGGTGTCTCGAAAAATAATCTCGAACAGGTCAACTTTATTATTGTAATCGAGCCATGATAATATTTTTTTCAGGTTTTTTGGCTCATTAAAATTTTTTTTTTACAAAAATAGACAGAAAAATGATAGAATTGTCAAAAAAAATTGCATTTTTTATAATCGGAACTGCATGAAATTGTTCCGTATTTACATGAGAAAAGAAATGAAATATATTTTATTGGAAAATATCAATTAGAACTTAAGATAAATTGTAAAATTCATTTTTGAGGTTAACTTTGAGGGCAGATTTCACTTTCTTGGAAGTGTTTTTCCGCCGATAATAAAGAATAAGCGTTACTTATTTTTCTATCACTTACAACATATCAATAGAATATTGAAATTGGTGAGGTCGGATTGATAAACGGGCTTTCTTGTAAGCACAGTAAAGTAACACGTCCAAACACTGCGTACTATTTATTTGCCAAATGATTATTTTTTATTTATTTGAAACCTTTTTAACTGACCTATTCTTTATCAGAAATCAAATTCACTTATTCAAGGAGCAATCTGAGTAAGCCCGAGAGTTCCAACCGAAGCTAAAGATTCTAGTCTCTGTCTCTCTTTCTCTCTCTCTCTTTCTCTCTCTCTCTCTCTCTCTCTCTCTCTCTCTAAAAAAATGATATATTTGTTATATAAAGTATAAAATAAAAATATGTATATAATTAGATCTTAGCACGCTTTTATGCGGCACGAGGAATTATAGAAAAGAAACTTACGGAGGTTATCTTTATCAGACACGATCCCACAGGTTCTAAGCGTGGCAAAGAATATTCGTCAAATGGACAAGCGCGCATTTGTACTTCTAATATTTCCTTCGCTCGCTAGATCTCAGCAAAGATTCTTCTGTCATTCGGTAGTGTCACGCCTTGGATTCGCCTTGTCGCCACGTCATTTGACTATTCCTCTCTTGATTTTCTGACACTTGCAAACCTTCAGTATAATATTTCTCTTTCGTTTTCCTCTCTTACTTTTGGGTATTTAAACAAAATTTATCTTGAACAGAAGCCGTGACTATATTAGCTAATAACCGGTTGCGTGTTTGCAAACTCTTACCTACTCCAATCTCTCGTTCTCTGTGTCTCCGCTACGCCCGCGTAGCGCTTTTGCACCGATGACATTTAATGCCTTTATTTAAGAATGTGGTTAGTTATAATATATTTATTTTATTTTATATGTATCCAGTCTGACACAAGTATTAGTGTAGATACTCTTTTAACATTCATGTAAACTGATGATATCTCTATAACCATACTCTTCATATTGTTTGTAAGACAATAAAAGTTGATAAATATCCTATTATTCATGTTTCAGTGAAAAAAGCACAATACAATGGCATCCAAGGTACGTATACTCAGTAATATTTTATATAGACCTAAGCCTTGATTTCTAAAAAGGACGATTATCGTAATCTTTAGACCACCTTAACTTCTGTTCTTTTTTGAAGAGACGACCATCATGAATAAAACTCCAAATAAATGAATGCTATCAAACCGTATGATAAACATAGATACTTAATATCATTGGCGACGATCATTAGTTGCAACATAACATAGGTTTTTATAGAAGGCTTATATCATGTGTTATTAGTTATTTCAATTGTATATGGAGCAAGTCAAATGCCAATACATGAATGTCTGTACAGTGGGACTGTATAAAGCCTTAGCAACAAGCGTAGCCAGTTTTTTTAGTTCCCTGTATCAGAGCTACTATTTAGAAAGTTCTTCACGTCAGAAACAGGTTGGAGAGGGTCTCGCGTGACAAAACCTTTATAATTTAATAAACTTCATCTTATCTAAATTTTGCGAATGTGTTAAATTTAATTTTATATTTTATTTTTCAAATTAATATATATGTGTAGATATGTAATGGGAAAGAATGTATAACAAAATAATTCTTCAATCTGTAAATAAGAAGTAACTGATTATCGACGCGTAGTAGTATTTCTGATTTAATACTGAATTAGATCGTCATAAAGAGAATGAGTCTAATACTTTCACTTTGCGAGATGTCCACCTTCAAGTTTTATGTAACTATAATATGTTGTAGAAGATAAAAAAATAAGACACGTATTTTTTTTATCGGCATAGAAGCAATTTTAGGCAATGAAAACAACCCTTAAAAATCACCCCTGAAAATAAACTTTTCTTAATACCTATGAAAAAAAATTAAATAATTATATAATTTCATCGCCAAATTATTTGTTAAAAAACGGCAGTTTTATAACAATTATTTGTACTCCAAAGGATTGCAACCTCTAATTTTTTTAAGTAAAACTAAAGCTTTTTTTTTACAATTTTTCGAGTACCAGTTTTTCATCACTTAAATTAAATTAAAATATATATATTTTTAAAGGAAATCGAGAAATTTAGCCGAGATGTTTCCGGAATTTGATTAAAAAATCGATTTGTAGCGGTATCCCACCCCTATATTTATACAATTTCAAACTTAATAAAAAAAATATTCCTTTGAAATTTAATGAAATTTTATGATAAACGAGACATACATGGTATAAATTGTGAAAACAATAAAATAACAATTCTATGACGATTATTTGAACCCTAAAGTGTGTGAATTTTTACACTTAGACCGTTTCTATTTTCGTCTGTTAAATTTTTGTGATAACTCTTATTGATAAGATAAGTGCAAAGAGATATTCTGGAAAAAAACAATATTTATAGGAAGTATCTGCTATTTTTACACTTTGATAAGCTGCTGTTTTCGTTTATTTAATTCCTGTGATAACTTCTACTCTTAGCAGTAAAAAATTAGTCGAATGAGACATTTTGACAATAAAAAATAATATTTATCAGAAGCGTCTGGGAATAAGTGTTTTTATTTCAATTATGTTAATTAAGTATAACTTGTAGTATTTATGATAACAATGAGTATCAATCCAACGAATATAATTAATCTTCTACGGAAAACATTCCAATTTGTGAATATGCAAGTAACTTCTATTAACCATGCAGAATTAGAATTGAATGAAAATTTTGAGAAAATTCTTTGAATGCTATGGATGACTTTAACGAAATAATAAACAATTTAAGAAATTCTTTAAAAGACAATACACTCAAATTTGAAGAAGAATTTAAAAATTATGAAGAGGTGGTCGTTGAAGATTATATATGGAACAAACAGCCTACTGATTCTGATGAATAAATAATTAATTATTACAAAAAGAAAGTAGTTGAATACTGGAGATCTGCAAAAACAGGAAATTTAGGCGTTTACACTGTTAAACAAAAATATAAAAAATATCTTCTGAACAAAAATTAACTGATTAACAAAGGCGGTACATATATGGAAAAACTAAACGCTATTTCTGAATTTGTACTAAAAAAGTGTGAAGATTCTATAAAAGTCGACTATATCATTCATGATACTGATTTCTCTAATGGGCATTGCAAGTTAATATAATGTAGGTTTTAATGACGTATGACTTAAAGATTCTAATTCTGGGATATATAAATTTAAGAAAAAGCATAAAAAAGTGGATGGAAAAAAAATTTATTATAAGAAGACTTAACGTAATGAGTCTAAATTAAAAGATGAAGCAGACACATTTATAAATAAAATACGAAATTATATACGTTAATATGGAGAAGATAATATCTATAACTCTGATAAAAGAGGATTTGAGTTAGAAATTCATTCTAAATGATAACTAATGGAGGAAGGAACAAACAAAGTTTAGTGTATTGTTCAATTAATTTCTGCAACAACCCACAGGTATACGATACAACCGACAATTAATGCTGCAGGAAAATTATTTTCGCTCCTTGTTTGGGTTATGATAGTAAACAAAGGATGAGTTTGGACCAAAAATATTTAAAAATTTATTAAAATCACTTAATGTTTATGTGATGTCATCAAAATCTTGTAAATTGACCAAAGGCACGTGTAGTTTAAGAATAATGATTTTATACGACTTTTTAAGAATTCATTATATTTACAGAACATTTCAAAACGTGGCTAAAAGAAGTTTTTCATCCTTATGTGGATAGTAAAAGTGTGCTTCTAATAGATTCGCGGAGTGGACATTATCCAGAAGCTGTTCAAGAAGCTACTGCTAAAGATAAACAGATCTATCTATTAAAATTATCGAAAAGTTCAAAATCAAAGATACAATCTTAAGATGTTTTTGGTTTAAGAATTTGGAAAAACTTTGTCGGGCATTTCTCCAATAGTGTGATATTAAATGAAGATTTAAATTCACAAATAAGCAATGTATGTTCTCGGACACAAAGGAGCCGACAAAGGATGCTGCCAATGTATAAGGGATATGTGTATGTTCTGGGATACAAAGGAGCCGCCCGATGAAGGTGTCACGGTAGTGCCACCTTTTAATTTAAGGTCAGGCATTTTATGTGCCTTTGACACCACCCACGTGCCAGTGGGCCCCATGCTGAGTGTTTAAAGGACACTTGATGTTCGTTTGACACCTCCCGCGTGCCAGTGGATGCCACCAATGTATATAAGGGAAATGTGTATGTTCTGGTACACAAAGAGGCCGTCCGATGAAAGTGTCGCGGTGGTGATATCTTTTAATTTAAGGTGAGACCACATGCTAGGTGTTTAAAAGGCATTTGTTTTTCGTTTCACACCTTCCGCGTACCAGTGGACCCCTTTGACAGAGAGCCCCCACCCAACCCCACTCAGGCACCCACCCACCTACAAAGGTTGTTGAGGTAGGACGCTGTATAAGTCGGTAGGGTGTTTGGTAAACTATATGATGGTCTCTCTCTCTCTCTCTATCCCTCTCTCGCTCTCCTTCGATAGTAGGGCGCTTAGTAAGCTTATGTTGGCTGAGGGCGGGCCCTCGGAGAGGGGGGTAGCGTCTCTAGCTTACTAGGCGCGTACGCCGTATAGTGTGGATGCTGTTCTCTCTCTCTCTCTATGATTATAGGTAGTTTGTATTATATTCTAACACTATATATAGTGTGTATATATATATATACAGGGTGTCCCATTTTAACTTACGCACCAAGATAACCCAAAAACTATGAGAGCTAGCGAAAAATGTTTTGAATAAAAGTTACTCGTCTCCGAGGGGGACATATTATGGTGACCTTGACTTTGACCTTGAGGGTCATTTTCAAGGTCATTCGAAGGTCAACTTTGTTTTTTCAAATAGGAACCCCTATTTTCGACCCCGGATTCGGAAAGAGCGGAAAATTCTACGATTAGATGACCTATCATGCGTGGGGTCCGGAAGACCCGCCAAGGTCATTTGAAGGTCAACTTTGTTTTTTCAAATAGGAATCCTTAATTTTAACCCCGGATTCGAAAAGTACAAAAAATCCTAAATATTTTATGTAATGAATTAATTCAACTTTCCATGGCCATTTAAACGTCAAATTAATGGCAAATTACTTTACTCAGAACAGTTTCATCTTTTCATATGAGAAATAAAGTATGCGTAAATTTTAGAACACACTAAATTTATTCAACTTTTTATGTACAGAGTTTAACAAAAAAATATTAGTCATTAGTAGTAATAATCAACAGTATTAGTCAATCTGATGAGGAATAACTCAATAATAACAATAATAATGATCTGGCAATAAGTTGGTGATGAATGATGCGCACGCACAATTACATGAGATGTTCAATAAGTCCCCCATTGTTTGCTAAGCATGTTTCCAAACACCGATGATAATTATTCAGAACGTTTGTAAGTATTTCAGGCGTAACAGCTGCACAAGCTCTTCTCACTCTATCCATCATATCTAATCTAGTGGTAGGTGCATCCTTGTAAACAGCGTCCTTGCAATATCCCCAGAAATAGCTGTCTAGTGGATTCAGGTCAGGAGACCTAGGTGGCCAGGGAACTGGACCACCTCGACCTATCCAATGGTCACGTAATTGAGCATTCAAAAATTCTCTAACGTTTACAGCAAAGTGAGCTGGAGCACCATCTTGTTGTAGCCACATGAGCTGCCGAACATTCAGTGGGATGTCCTCCAAGTATTCAGGTAGATGATTCTCCAGGAAATCAAGATACGCTTGGCCGTTGACATTGCCATAAAAAAAATGGGGACCAATAATATGCCCGTTGAAGATTCCCACCCAAACATTAAGACTCCAACGGTGTTGATTTATCACTTGACGATGCCAATGAGGATTGACAGGTGACCAATAATGACAATTATGTCTATTGAGTTTACCGTCACTTTTGAAGGTAGCTTCATCGCTAAAACAAACATTCCAAAAGAAATTGGGATCCTCGTCCAGTTGATTAAGAGCCCACCTACAGTAATTCATTCTGAGTAAATAATCATTTTCATTGAGTTCTTGGTGCAGGATGATGTGGTATGGATGGTAACCCACGGATCTTAACA